GAGCATGACCCATGATTCACGTGACGAACTGGGCCGTAGCCCTAGAAGCGCACAAAACTGTGCGTCACCCTTTGTGTTTATCGAGTCGGATCCAGAACAGCTTAAATCACACGGCATCACTGATCCACAGATTCGGTGTCAGTTGGCGAGCTCGACAAGATGTACGACTGAGGTCTGCCTCATTTCAACACAGAAAGAGCTTGGGAAGACAGGTGTTCAGTCAGGGGGTAGAAAAAACGTGCGCGATCAATTGATCAATGAGGTTCGCTGAACGGAAGCGGATCCGACCATAGTATTTCCTAATCAACACAAAGTGATAGTTTCTCAGTTCAAAGTGATTGTTTCTCATTTTGATTGTGAATGTTTGGATTAGCCCATTCGGTTAGTCACAGGCACCAGGGACTGTTGATGATGTTCGATGTGAGTTTCACTCCTTGGGAGATCGTTAATTCCCCACTGTTTCAATGCATTTAAATGCAATGGAAGTGTTTGTGATAACCAACAAAGAGCACTGGACAGCTGTCCTGGTTGGGACTCGTCAGCAGTGCGTACTTTTTCCGTCCATGTCATCGTATTTAAATCAACCAGTGGGTAATTAACGATCTCCCAAGGAGTGAAACCCACATCCAACATCATCAACAGTCTCTGGTGCCTGTGACTAACCGAATGGGCTAATCCAAACTTTCAACATCATTGATTGAGCCATTCGCACAAGGTGATAACCGTCAACCGTGAAGCTCAAGGGTAAGGGTTTAGAGCCTCAGCCCGAATAATCACGGTTCGAGTCCTGACAGGGACACAAAAAGTACGCACTGCTAGGACGAAACAGCTATCGAGTGTTCTTTGTCGGTTATCACAAACATTTCCATCGCATTTAAATGATGGTTTCTCAATTCAAAATGACGGTTTTGCAAATCAAATTGAGGTTTTCTCAAATTTATCTTAAAATAGTATAGTGGAAATGCCTGAGCTAGTACATTAAATTCACAACGGATACACTGGAGGATATAAGCTGAAACTTGGAGGATAGAATAGAATAGAATAGAGACAAAGGAGGAACTGATACCCTAAATTAGTTCAAACGTTCAATACAATAATGCTACCGGTGAATAGTTCTTCGTCTTCATATCACCGGTCTTTTGATAGATAACTATTTTATGAAATGATAATTCATCGCAGAAGGCATTATTATCTATTCGTCCTAGATTTCACGTCAGAGCTGACGAATGCGTTGGGGGGAGGGGTAAATGAATGGTCTTGTGATACTCTGATCATTAACTCATGTCTGGTTTGTCTCTCTCCCTCGTTGTGACACATACATTGGTCTCGTTTATCTTCAGCTATGCGCGATTCACAGGGTAAAAGAGTGTGCCAGTACTGGGACCACCTGGACTGATTTAATCTGTGCTCTGAATGGGCCGAGAGACACACAGCTTTTCTCCCATTGGCCGGGGCTGATCAACTCATGTCCATTCAACTTCAGTATGGCTAGTCACTCATCCTTCAATCGATATAAACTGACATAACTGAGCCCCGTTCCAGGTTGATTATGTGTGTGTATGCGAGAAAGTGATAGATTTCAGCTACGCCGTTTGACATACCAATACTACGAAGCCGGTTTGATGGTATGTCTTGGGAAATTGTCTTTGAACTCATGCGATCGATTTAACTGTGAAATGTTTCTCCGAAAAAAAAAACACTTTCACTAACGCTTTGTACGAGCATGCTCTACCAGCTGAGCTACGAGGCCACACCGATAGCACTGATCTTTTTTCAACCGTGGGTTTTAACGTGGGTTCGAATCCCACCGAGGCTACTGAACTTTTCACAATCGACATACCAACTTCAAATCTGCTAAACAAATATTTGAACTTTCGATAACAACAAGTATGCATGCTGCCACTACAGTGCGGCAGAGTATCAAACAGCAACTTTATATGAGAAATGGAAGTGATTTGCTATCTAATCAAGCCACCCAATGGATTATCAGTGTCAAACTTCTGACATGCTATGACTTTCGCATCAAGTTATGTGCACCTGAAAAGCATCTGATCATGAAGAAACCCCATAAATCGTAGGTGAAAATCTACTGATTTCATTACACTGATATATATGTATGTATATCATCTTACTGTGGCGTCCTTTTTACTGTGAATCACTGGAATAGAATTGAAATGACCGCGAAAAGAACATAATCAATTTTGTCTGTACAGATACCAGTGGAGATGTGTTTGTATCATACACCGATCGGAGTGGGATTCATCTTGAGTGATTTTTAGAACTGTCGCATGCATTCCGGCCAGATTTCCCCGAATATAAACGCACTGTGATAGAATTCACACTTGAACTTCGAGGCAGTCCACTGACTAATGGAAGTGTTTTGGCGGACTGAGCAATCCGTTGAACAATGGCCTCACCACTCAAATAAAATCTGCCGCCTTCGGGCAATGGACCGGTTGGAGCTTCTGTCCATTCCCGAGCACGTCTACAAGGCTGACGATCAGCTGATTGAGCATAAGTCGGACGGCTTACACGTTGAACCAAGTGCATTTCTTCTGTTCTATCCCGTGGACGATATTTTCCTGACAGATGTGTACTACACCTCGTGAGTACAACACCGAATATGGTTCTCTGTCCCGGTGACCGATCACAAATAAGACATCGACCACGCTGTTTGAAACCACTGGCTGTAGTTGGACGAGACAATCGGTTCAAGTTTTGCTCGATTCGGGAACCACGTTGAAATTGATTCAAGTAAACTAGTGTTTTGAATTGGCCAGACACATCAAACAGACTGGGTCTCGTACGGGGAGATTGTGTGTACGGATAGATTTGTGATTCACAAGCTGAACGCGATATTTTTCCACTCGTACTCACAAAGTCTGTCGGGTTGCGTCTTTTACGTCGCGCGTTTTCTCTTTTCCTAACTGCACTGGAAATTGTTTGACATTCATTTAAACGGTACACAATACGACGCATAGTGGACCAGTCAACCGGGTCACGTGACTGGAAATGAGTGCATGTACTGCGTGGAGTGGAAGCCCGAGTCATAGAAGGAGTACAGCAGCCATTTCGATTTACCCAACGGTCCACCTCTGCTCGAAGCAAAGCTTCACCTCGGGGGCATGTACACGGTGGTCGAAGATTGGATAATTTGGCTCGTCTACTCCATTGCAAAGCCAGATCGTCTAGTTGTTCTGCTACAAGGTGATAATCAGTGACGGGTTGTAAATCGCACAATTTGATCGTTAAATCAGAAGTGTCGGCACACTTGACATCCTT